CCACATTTAATATTTGTTTATACCCTAACCTGGCTGTTCCAAAAAATAATTCAGGAAAAATACAAATCTTAAAAAAGAAAAAAAGGAAATTGCATGGCAAAATAATAAAAAAAAAAAAGATATATATAAAAGAGCCAGGTTTGAGAACAATTTGCAAATGTGGATGAAGTTATTTGCAGGTTGACCACGCTTCTGAGATGTTAAGATGCTTGGTGGCCTTACAGGTACTAATGCTCAGTTGTCAGCATGCTGCCAACAGTCCAGGTCAAACAGGGGCATCTATAAAGCTTTCCACTACATACAGTTATTACACTCTTATACCTGAGCCCCACTAGTCACTCTCCAGATGGTCAGTGTTGCATCATCAGTTATTCTCTATAACTTGAAAATTCATTAAGAGATATGCCAACCATACAGAGGTTAAGAGGATTACTGATAGGCAGACTACCACTTCGGTGATGGGCTTCCATTTTGTAATGATGTAAGTGCCCTTTATATTACTATAAAACATACATGACAGACCTGCTTTTTCCTGAACTGATAATGGCACACTGTTACTTGTTAGTCAAGATACACACATACACACACACACACGCACACAAGCACTGATAGGAGGTGAATCAATTAAAAGTATTAACAAACAAATGCAGCCAATCCATCCAGTTAGCACAAAAACTATATGTATCTATATCTATATCTATATATATATATATATATATATATATATATATATATATATATATATATATATATATATATATATATATATATATATACAGTATATATAATATATATACATATATACATATACACACACACATACACAGTATATAACAAATACTGTACACAAAAGGTAGTAAACAAAATGGAAGACAAATATATTAAAGAAAATCTTAAAGCAACAGAGACCAGACAATCATCATCTAGGGATAGGTGGAAAATATAAGATACTTCAGTGTTTTATGATTGGAAATTTATCGTATTAATCAGCCATTAAAATGATTCATCTCCTTTCCAGTTTTGAAAATGCATGGTAACGAAGGCAGCTTCAGTGTTAATACTGCATGCTCCCCAATCATATGTAGTTGCATATCATTACCAACAATAAAAAAGATGCATTGCGAGTCTTTTAGCAATAACTAAATAAAGATCATTATCAATAAAATAATTCTATATGTAAGACAATATTGAATTTTTATTCCAAATTCTGTAAGACGCAAGCAAATGCACATTTTATGTCAGTCTGAGTATCTTTAGCTTCACATTTTGCTATAGTAGTTTAAAGTAAAAAAAAAAAAAAAAAAAAAAAAAAGTTTATATAAAAATGTACTTGAGCACCTACTCTGCAAAGTGATGCTATGTGTAAAATAACTAAGTCTGACCTTTCACTGTAAATAAGCCAAGAATACTGAATGGAAAGCCAAACTACTTAATAGCACTTTACTGGGTGGACTCTCTGTCCTCTGCTTTACACACAATGATAGGAGTATTTAAATTCTCCAAATCTAGAAATTTGGGATGAAAGTAATTTTAGGTATTTCTGTAACCAATATTTACTTTTCTTAACTTGATTATCACTTTGATATTTATGAAAGAGAAGAAGAGCTGTGACTATTTAATGAACTTTAACAGGTATGTTGGGAGGCAACATGTACCTGCATACCCGATTTAAGGGCCTCTGCAACCCAATTCTCCTCGGTGAGCTTAGATAAACAGCAAAATGTTCACACGTGGTGGATTTCTAGATCAATCGGCAACATTTTCTATCCCCGATACGAACTCTACCTTGACAGAAGCAATGATTCAATTACAGCAATAACCACCAACATTACTAACAATTAAATTGCTGAGTAAAAAAAAAAAACTAAATCTGAAACTGTCAGTGCATAGCACTGCAGATACTATACAGTATAGTATTTCTTCTACAAACATTTAGCTTGTGTCAACAGCCCTCTTGATAACTGAAAACATTTCATTATACTGTAATAGTGTCTAATCATCATTTCTGTTTTATCATTAAAAATCATTGCCAAAGATATACTATATTTCTAATGATTACATAGTAATATTATTTACTGAGAAGTACATTATGACCAAAGTACAATATATTCTTTGACATTCCAATTACTAGTACTATACTTATTGAGTTCAGTCTGAACTACAGTATGTCCTATTTAGTATCTTTCAATATTATAAACAGTACTTTATACAAAATTCAAATGTCTCATCATAATGTTTTTGGTTTTAAACCTCTTCATTCTAACCTAAAGTGTACAAACTTAAATAAAGCTACAAAATATCTGAGTAGTGACTAATTATTATTCTAATATACAAACTTTCTTAACATGAAAATATAATTAACTTTTTGAAGCTATAGTCTACTCCCAGGAAACTGGGATGGAACAGGTGTGCAAAATGTTATAAAGAACAATCACATAATATCAGACTTTTTAACTGGCTAGTTAAATCATAGCCGAATAAATTATAATTCTTCAAAGCTGACGATTCATATTTTAGCCTTCGAATTTTGAATATTTTTTGCACCTTTATCCAGATATTATAGAGTACTATCAGTGTCATGTTTTAGTAATTGTATGCCTTTAGTTTAGTAGTGTCTACTAAACTAGACACATATAATTACTATATACCGACAGCCTGCCCCTTCTTCATGTGCCCATATGATCAAGTGCTCATCTTCATATTATATCTCTCTCTTCCAGTTTACTCTTAAAAGAAGCAACCTAATGAATAAATCATTTACTATCTAAACTAATACAATAAAAATAAAATTCGGCCCAATGTTCCGAAAATTTGACCCTCCGTGGACCCCACGGTGGCGTGGGGTCCATGGTTCGAGACCTATACAGCCCAGCTGAATGGAATACAATAAAAATTATGATATCTGACCCTCATGGGACCTGGAGAGAGTTGGATGGCCAAAAAATGTTAGACCCTGAGTGAGATTCTGATATTTTGTTAAATAATTTAACATTTCTGACAAAATCTAACTGCTATGCACTTCCTTTAGCTTTAACCATCTGTCAAAGCATCAGCAGAACTATTAATATTAATTGATAACTAATTGAAAAAGTCAAAGTTATAACACAAGTGATTACAACATATCAACAAACTGATCATACAGACAGTGAGTACAGAACTGCAGTTAATGATTCACAAACTATAAAGGTCAGATAGTCAAAAATTAATTGATTTAAGCTTTTATGAAAAAATTCAGATACCTAGAAAGGTTGCTTTCCTAAAGGTCAGATAATCAGACTTTAACTGTATTTAAGCCTCTGAATGGCCATGTACAAATGATGAAAGCATAAAGCTTATTGTTTACTGGTATATTTTTATCATGAAAAACTTTTGACTGTAAGAATATTTTTATACTGTAAGCTTTGTACAATAGAGTACAGTATTTGTATATATAAGAAAATGTTCAAAGTTGACCAGTTACTCGTATATATTGTACGCAGCATATGTTTTTTATTACCTATTTGTGGCTATAGATAGTTATGCTAGTATTGTCCCATTTTCTGTGTATATTCAGTCATAAATAATTGTAAACTTTAGTGGTTTTAACACACTTCCTCCTTGAGTTTACTCCAATCATCCATAACTCTATTGTTAAAAAGGTACTTAGTGTTAATAATCGTATCGTATATTATTTCTTTTAATGTTTTTCTTAAAAAATTTTGTATTAGTTTCTGGTACTGTGTGTTTCATTGCTACTATTAGTTTCAGGTACTATGTGTTTCAATGCTACTATTAGTTTCAGGTACTATGTGTTTTCATATACATCTTTTATAAACTTCCATTTGGTTCTTTTTTCAAGTCTTCCAAACTGGGCATGATCCAGAGGCTTATTTCTCTCATTATGATCCCATTTTACT